TTCATTTTATTTGGGTGGAACTCCTAGGTTTTCCCCTTTATATAATCTCTGAGAGATGTTCATTTTTCAGTTACCTAGTATTTTTCTGTCCTTGATAATTGTTTTTTGCCAGCCTCATGAGACTTCTGCATGTAGAGCTTAGTATCTAGCCAAAGACTAAAGGATCACCCATGCAAATTTTTGGATCTTTTTCTCTGGGCAACTCCTTCCTCTTTAATATACTGACTTGAGATCCTCTCCCCTTAAACTTTTAAACTTTATTAGTCTCTTTTGTATCACCTCAGGAAGACAGCTGTGCTTTGCCTGGGTTCTCCCCTTTTGTGAGGGCGTTCAGTAAATTTTAGGCAGAAAGCTGGAGTGATTACAGGGCTTACCTTTGATTGTTAATCTCATCTCAGGCATCGCTGTCTTGTCTGACCATTGCCCAATCTCTGAAAACAGTTTTTCTGAATATTTAGGTTTGCTAGTTGTTTACATGTAAGGGCAAATCTAGTACTAGTTATTCTGACATGGTTGGAAGTGGAACTCTGTTTAGCAAACATTAATAAAATTGCCTTTAGGCCTTTGGAATATGGTATAAAACTAAGCTATAAATTGAGTTTAATTTTTATAGTATTTGTAAGATGTATTAGCAGGATGTATAAGAAAATGTGATTAAGATTCAATTCTATCTGGTATCTTGAATGCCTACTCTGTGTGTGCCTTAGAGTTTGTGCAACTTGCTGGGGACAGAAAGAATAACACATGAATTGAAGACCTGGCACTCAGCCCCAGTAGGAAGTAGGCATGTATATTAATTATCTATTGTTATATAACAAATTGCTCTAATACTATGTGGTTTAAAACAGTTATTATCTGCTGGTTAAGAATCTGGACATGGTTTAGCTAGATAATCTGAACTCAAAATGTGAACCAAGCTCTAGTCACATAAAAGTTTGACAGGTGCAGGATCCATTTTCAAGCTCACTCATGTGGTCGTTGGCAGATTCATTCCATTCCACATGGGCCTTTTCAAATGGCAGCATCAAAGTAAACACAAAGAGAGAATGTGAGAGGTGCCTGACTTCGGCTCAGTTCATGATCTCACAGCCTGTGGGTTCTAGCTCCGCATCGGGCTCTGTGCTGACAGCTAGCTCAGAGCCTGGAGCCTGTTTCAGACTCTGTGTCTCCCTCTCTCTCTGACCCTTCCCTGCTCACGCTATCTCTCTCTCTCTCTCCCAGAAATAAATAAAAAACATTAAAAAAATTTTTAAAAAAGGAAGAGAGAATGTGAACAAGATAAAAGTATCAGTCTTTTGTAAACTTATCTCAGAAGTGAAATCATACCACTTTGCTGTATTCTATCTAAGAAGCAAGTCACTAGGTCCAGCCCACATTCAGGAGGTGGAGATTACACAGGGCATAAATGCAGGACACAGGAATCATTGGCAGCTAATTTAGGAACTGCCTACAATAACATATGGTATATAAATTATATAAAATATTATAAATGAGTCTATAAAATAATGTAACAGCATTAACATATGTAGCATAAGAACAAGTTGCTAGTGATATGCTAACTGCTTCCCACAGATTATTTTGTGGGAAGCCTCTTCTAGTATTCTGTGGGAGCGGTAGTGAATATTATATCCATTTGGGAAAGGTAGTGTATATTATATCCATTTTACAGAAAAACAAATTGAACTTCAGTAAGGTTACCTAGCTGTGATATAGCAGAACAAGAATTACTATATCTGTGATATAGCATACTAGAACTCTAGTCTGGCTTTGCCTATTCTAGTACCCATATTTTTAATTTCCATATCTTATCAGCATTAAAATAGTATTAAATAGTATTAAAATAGTATTAACTTTTATTGAGCATCTCTTATGGGCTTAGCATTATAGTAAGTGCATTATATATGAATGCCATCTAAGCCTCAGAGTACCTTTATTAAAGCTCTCAATTTTACTGATTACATACTTTAGCTTTCAGATTCAAAAAATTACTTTGAAAAATTAACATTTTTTTTGTTTCAGAGACATTAAACAAATATAACCCAAAGAATCTGTGTAAACACCAAAAAAAAAATCATTTAAATACCCATTACCTTTACAAAAAGTGGTATTACTAATTAAATAAATTTATGTAAGGAAACCTGACACATTTCAATCCACTTAATATTCTGAAGAAAATGTATTTTACAGATGAAAGGTGGTATGTGAATCTCAAATAAGAATGAATTTATAAATACTTAATCCACTGCTAGAAGTCTCAGCAAACACTACTATACAAATTTTAGTCAGAAACCAGCTCATGTAGTTAATGTTGAAATATTTTTACTAATAAATTTGAAATATTTTCATTAATAAATTCTTTCACAAATCAAGTGGCTTTCCTGTCAATGTCTGTACATATTTTCTTTAGTCATCCCATTGTTTTTGCAAAGTGAATCTTTTAGATGAGGCAAGTAAGACAAAATAATGAAAAATCATTTTCTCATGTTTGAAAGGTAACCATAAGTTGATGTTATGGTCTTTTAGACGAGTTTATTTTAAATATTTGAGGGTGTCTTGTAAGATATGTGTTGATAATAGTAAATCCTAAAGCTTATGAATGAATTTATTTTTGAACTGTTTTCCTTATAATAGCAGTGTCTTACTTTCTACATTCAGATTTGCTTTCTTAAGTGGGGCATAAAATGGCACTTGAAGCTGATGTGCACAAATTGTGTAATATATCATACTAAAGTATGTCATGTATGGTATCCTTTACTCATTCGCTTATTTCTTCAACAATTTTATTAGTTCCTACTAAGGGTCGAGCACTGCTCTGAGTACTTGGGATACATCAGTGAACAAAATGGGGAAATATCAGGGAGTTTACATTTTAACAGATATAGTTCAAACAATAGGCAGTAAACACAGTAAGGAAGCAGTCATTCATTATGGATAGGGTAAAAAATTCTATACCAACTTTTAAACCATACTAAGCAAAATTACATAGAAAACTATTTGGTTTTCAGCTCAGCTTTTTTTTTCTTATTTCATTTTAAAATACTAGCTAAGAACAAAAAAATTGGCGAAACATTCTCTCCAAAAACAGAGTGCAGGGGTGCCTGGGTGGCTCAGTCAGTTAAGTGTCCAACTTTTGATTTTGGCTCAGGTCATTACATTATGGTTCTTGAGACTGAGCCCTGCATCCGGCTTTGAGCTGACAGCATGCATCCTGCTTGGAATTCTCTTTCCCTCTCTCTCTGCCTCTCCCCTGCTCACGCTTCCATGCTCATTTTCTCTTTTTCAAAATAAATAAATAAACTTTAAAGAAAAAGAATACAAATGATGCTATTAAGAAAATGACCATGTTTTGTTCCTACAACAGTTTTTAAAATGTTTTTATTTACTTTTGAGAGAGAGAGAGAGAGAGAATGCAAGCAGGGGAGGGGCAGAGAGAGACACAGAATCTGAAGAAGACTCCAGGCTCTGTGCTGTCAGCTCTGAGCTGTCAGCACAGAGCCTGATGCAGGAGTAGAACCCACAAACCATGAGATCATGACCTGAACTGAAGTCAGACACTTAACCAACTGAGCCACCCAGGTGCCCCATCTTCTACAATTTTTAATGAGTTTTTACAACTTATGTAATGTCAATATTACTACATTGTAATGTGTAGTAATTTAATGTTTTGGTTATTTTTGATGATGGTTTATAAAAATTTAAGGTATTTTATCTAACAAAATGTATGTTTCTGTAAACTTGTTTCTATTTGAGTTACTATAGTTTTGCTCACTTTGATTATTATAATTTTTCATTATAATTTTAATAAAATGTTACAGCATATTTTTATTGTTATTTAAATAATTCCTTCAGAAAGCTATCTTTTCTTTTTTTTAATCACATTTATCTTTCTAAGTTAACTTTTGCTATATAGGGAAAGATTAAAAAATTTAATATCTTATTGGTATAGCCTGGAATTAACTAGGTTATATTATGGATTCAGTATATGGTATAGTAGCAATTTACAATGTTGCATATATTGTCACCCATAGTATTCTTAACTCAGATGTTAATAGTTAGCTTTTTTTGTTGACTTACTGAATTAAATCCATACCTTAAATCATCAGTGGATTCATTTTTTAATTTACTTTTTAACTAGGAATCTCTGAATACCTGAATTTTTCTATATAGCATGAAAACTAGGCATCATATGACTGATCTTTGATCTGCCTATAATTTCTTTCTTTGGGGAAAAAACTGTTTTGTTTCTAAAGGGAATTCTAAGCCAGATGATAAAGTGATAAATGAAACCCAAGCCTGAGAAAGTATGTGCATTTGTAATTAAGATGCACAGTGACTAAGAACTGGTATAGACATGTTGCAATTATTGGTATTTTTTAATAAATTGAGGAAGGGATAATCTAGCCTAATCTTTATGAGCCTTTGTGATATATGGAATGGTTACCAACTGATTAATGGCTGCGATATTCTTTGCTTATTAGCTAATATACATGTCACTTTTAGAATATATCAGTGACACTTTGCCTATCACTTGCAGGGTTAAGTAGTGCAAAGGCAGTTGAGTAGTGAGATGGAGGGGAATGGAGTCAAGATCTTACTGGAATGAATTCACTCATACAGAGAACATGTTTCTGTTTGAGTTAATGGAAACATTAGACCAAAATATGTAGTTGAATATATTTTGTTTGGTTTTGATTGCTTCTTCAAAGATGCAGTCTTTTGATCTCCATATATGATCTATTGCATAATGATGTTTGAAGGAAAAGTGATGATGGCACTTAGAGGACTTTCAAGCTTAGAGCTAATTAATTTATCTGGTAGAGCCCTGTTATACATGGTTGGTTTAATAGGCAGATGTGAAAGCTTTTGCTTTTTACTTACTATTAGGCAGTTATGTTATCTGCCAGTTAACACCAATGTGTTTCCTTCAACTCCATGAATCTCAGTATATGCTATTTTCCATATCCTAAATAATTTAAATATATTTCTTACTCTTTCCACAGCATGTAGAGCCCATGAAGCACAAGACAGTAAAGCTTCTTACTCATACCACCAGGACGATCTCTTTGAAAGATTTACTATAGGACTACCAGAGACACAAATTTTCTGAAGCATGATGTGTTGAAACAACAGAAGGCTACTGCTTACGCTAGCTACAAACAGACTTAAGATGTTTTCAATTCTTTGAGCCTCGGGAAGCCAGGGGAGTGAGTTGAAAATCTGAAGATGCGGCCATGGACTGGTTCCTGGCGTTGGATTATGCTCATTCTTTTTGCCTGGGGGACCTTGCTGTTTTATATAGGTGGTCACTTGGTACGAGATAATGACCACCCTGATCACTCTAGCCGAGAACTGTCCAAGATTCTGGCGAAGCTTGAACGCTTAAAACAGCAAAATGAAGATTTGAGGCGAATGGCTGAATCTCTCCGGTAGGTTCTGAAAAGTGAAGGAAGAATGATGTACTGTACTTTGTTTTTAGTTGCAGGGGTTCATTCACCGATTAAAAAATATTTAATGATTTCTTTAAACTGTTTTTGTAAAAATTTAAATATTTGGGTGAGGTACTTTTTATATCAATTCTATAACATGAGAATTTCTTCATAGTGTTGAATCTTATTTGCATATAGGTTTTAATATACAGACACCATGCCATTTAATTTATGTTTTTATACTTCATTTATAATTGTCTTCAGCATTTTGAATACTTTTGACAAATTAAATACAAACTTTGTATGATTTAAATAAGTGCATATTAAAATTTTTATTATATGGACTATAACAAAGACATTTATAATAATTCGGAGGCTGAATTAGTCTAATTATAACTTACTAAAATGAAGAAACAAAAATTCATTGTTAAATAAAACAACTGGATCTGGAACCTAGGGCATTGTTATTGTTGCTACTTCTAGTCTATTAAAAAATGTGACATGTACATTAGAAGGCATCACCTGTTTGGAAACATAAAGTCTTGCATTTTCCGGGAACAAAGAATTCCTAAATTCTAATTCCTCTGCTTTATATATAAAGGTGATTATATGTTTAGTGCCTGCTGTCTCTCGAGCTGGAATCTGAAGATTTGAGATGAAGAGTCATTACTCTGGAGTTGGTAATTGACCCTAAGAGAGGTAGTGTAGAGAAAAAGAGCACAGAGTTCATTTCCTTTTGAGAAACAGATACATTGAAGAGTAGAAGGTGAAAGCATCCTGCTGTGCATAGAGCCTTTAGAGTAATGGGGAAGGAGAGAGGGAGAGTGCTACGGTGTGGAAGCTGAGTAGCATTCTGTGAAAGAAGAATGTAATTGGCAATGTCACATACTCTTGAAGCTTTAGAGAAGACTCCTGTGGTTCTCCCATTTAAGAACTTTATACAATGAGTGAAAAACTATCGCTGTCATTTGTAGTAGTACCATGCGGTAAAATACAAAGTAATTAGGGATTAGAAAGTGGACAGAGAACTTCTTGCATTTATATATCCTTTTATTTCCTTTTGGGTGGGGGCCTGAAAGTATGGAGAAGGTGATCTCTCAGTAGAGTCTTAGTCATTTGTTATGAGAAGCAAAGATTGATAATTTAGAGGTTAATAATAATAGCTATCATTTATCAAGTGTATCATGTGCTAGGTACTATGCCAAGGACTTTGCATGAATTATCTCACTGAATTTCATAAATTTCCTTATGAGATGCTGGTACTGTTTTTATAACCATTTTACAGATTGAGGAGTGAAAGGGATATTAATTTAATTTTTCCCAAAGTTATACTTTCCACAAGTGGTGGAGCTTACTTTGCTTCTTAGTGGTATGACATAAAAGCCTGGACTCTGATGAAATGTGTTGCCTCTGTGAATAGAAACCAGAGAGAAGTCACCAATTCAGAAATCTCAACTAAAAGTCTCATGTAGTCCGTCAACGGACGAATGGATCAAGAAGATGTGGTTTCTCTATACAATGGAATACTACATAGCAATGAGGAAGAATGAAATCTGGCCACGTGTAGCAACATGGATGGAACTTGAGGGTGTTATGCTGAGTGAAATAAGTCAGGCAGAGAAGGACAGCTACCATATGTTTGCACGTATAGGAGGATTAGGAGGAATTTAAAGGAGGACCATGGGGGAGAAAAAGGGGGGAAACCGTGGGGAGAGGGAGGGAGGCAAACCAGGAGAGACTCTTGAATGCTGAAAACAAACTAAGGGCTGATGGGGGTGGGGGGGAGTAGGGGTGATGGGCATGGAGGAGGGCACATGTGGGGATGAGCACTAGGTGTGATATGGAAACCAACTTGACAATAAACTATTAAAAAAAAAGGTCTTATGTAGGAGATCGCCAAGAGTAGCTGCTGTGCTAATTGATTTTGGAATATGCTTTGATTGTAGTAAAACCTTGTTTCACATGCTGGGAATCATTGCTCCTTGGAAAAGATTTTGCTTCTTAACAATTTAGGCTCGTAAATAATTGATTATTTTTCTCCTCATTCTGACTTTAGTACTGATACTTCATTTGGCTTATTTCTGACTGCCAAGTATCTTGTTTTTATTGCATGAAAGAAAGCTTGCCTTTTATAATAGTTGATTCTTCTGTAGAATAATCTTTGGGTTTTGTAAGTCACTTTCTTTATATTCTTTTGTGTTGAAATTAAATTCTCAACTACTAAGACAACTTAGAGCTGAAAAGTACGTCATGCTGTAGTATTGTAAATATAATCTGAGAACACAGACTGAGTCAGTTTTTATACAGAGAGCTGTAATTTTAGAAAATAAATAAGTAATTATTTTTGCTCATTTGGGATGAAAAGCTCCTCACGTCTTTCCCTCAACTTTATGGGTAGGGACATTTGTGTTTCAGCCACAGGGATTTCATTTTAGAAACCCTGGTATAAAAGGAAGAACAGTAGATGTGCTACTGATGTTGGTATTTTTACCTTCTCATTGTAACATTTTGTACCCAATTTTGCTATGTCTTTTTCTCATAAAAAAAAAATGTGTTCATAAGCTAGACCCAAAAGGAGTAATTCATATGTCTGTAAAACTAGGTCATTTCTTTCAGATGAGACATATAGATTGAGTTTGGAAAGTGCACAGAAGCTTGAAATTACAGTTTTTAAGATTTAGGACCCTAATTTTAAAAGCATTTAACCAATTCTCCAGCTAGAATTTACTATTTTGTTGATTTGTACTATATATTTAGGAAAATAATTTAAAAATCATTATTATTGAGGGATACAAATGTTTAAGTGCAATGTTTGAGAGGTTGGTGTGTGTGTGTGTGTGTGTGTGTGTGTGTGTGTGTGTGTGTTTATTTCTGACTTACTGATGAATAATTTTTATATGGTAAAATTATTTTCTAGCACATAGGTGTATGAATAGCACATAGATCACTACCACGACAATCAAATTATGGAAGAATTCTGCCTCCCACTAGAATTCTTTTGTGCCCGTTTGTAGTCAGATTCTGTTCTTACCTTCTGTCCCTGGTACCCACCGATTTGTTTTCTGTCTTGTATTTTATTCTGTTCCTAAGTAGAATAATGTGGTGTGTAGCCTTTTGTATCTTGGTTTTGATTTTTTTGTTTTTTTTTTTAGTATAATGTACTTGACATTCATTAATGTTATTGTGTGTATTGGTAGTTTTTTTCTTTTTCCTGAGTATTATTTTAATTCCTTTTTGATAGTGAGTAGTATTCCACAGTATGGATGTATCACAGTATTGTTGTCTTTTGTTTTTTTAATGTATTGACTAGTTAAAGGATGTTAGTGTTGTTTCTGTTTTTTTGGCAATTGTGAACAAAGCTGTTATAACATTTGCTCTTTAGGTCCTTGCATGAACATAAATGTGCACTTCTCTTGGGTAAATATCTAGGAGTGGGGTTGCTGGGTCATTTGAGTGCATGTTTAATTTTTTAAGAAGTTGCCCAAAAGTTTTCCACTTTACCTGCAATATTTTGCGTTCCTACCAGCAATGCTTGAGAGTTCCAGTTGCACTCACTTTTAGCACTTGCTATTGTTAGTTGTTTTAGCAGGAATGCAGTATTATCTCACTGTAGCTTCAACTTATATTTCTTTTTTTTTCTTTAATGCTTATGTATTTATCTTGAGGGAGATAGCATGAGCAGGGGAGTAGCAGAGAGAAAGGGAGTCCCAAGCAGACGGTGCTCTCAGTGCAAAGCCTGTCGCAGGCCAAACTTATAACCTGTGAGATCATGACCTCAGTCAAAATCAAGTCTGATGCTCAACTAGACCAAGTCCCCCAGCTGCCCCTCAATTTGCATTTTTATAATGATTAATGATGTTGAACATTTTTTTCATGTGCTTAATTGCCATTCTTCAGTCAAGTGTTCATATTTGTTACCTCTTTTAAAAAATTGAGTTTCTGTTTTAAAATTTGTTTTCTTATTGCATTCTTTTTAAAATTGGGTTTATATACAACATAAAATTATATACACACCCATGTATACATATATGTAATATAAGATACTGTAAAAACCCAGTGACTTAAAACAAAATTTCATTAATTGAAGTTGTCCTTAGCTGGATTGTTTTTCTAATCTGGGGTTGCTCTTGTGGCTGCTACATTGTGGTAAGGCAGTCCAGGTGACCTCACTCACATGTTTGATGAGTAGTTGGGGCCATCAGTTACTTCCCTTCCATGTAGCTTCTCCAGTAGGATAGCCCAGGTTTCTTACATAGTGTTCCAGGAGGACAAGAGCAGAAAAAGGCCAAGTATCCAAAGTCACACAGTATCCCTTTCGCCACATTCTGTTAGTGTATGCAAATGAAAGAGACACTCCATATTCAGGAATAGAACGAGGGACTGCAAAGAATTTGTAGCCGAATTTAACCTACCACTCTCCTTTCCAGAAGTAATAGATTAAGCCAAATCATTGTGGTTCTGACAGCTTGAGTTTAGTTTAGACTTTGTTGATAGATAATAGGGTTTTTAGCAGAAGAATGACACATTGAAAATGGTTGAGTAAGATTTAGATTTTCAGATGGATTTGGGGCATGTTCTTCTTTGGAATGAAATTAACTAGGAAACATAGTATTAATCTAGACATGAGGTGATGCTGACCTAGATTAAATTAATTATTAAATATTTTTGTTTGGGAACCAAGGTACATCTGCTTATCTTCCCATGTTTTCTCTATGCTCTTTTTTTTTTTTTTTTAATGTTTTATTTATTTCTAGGAGAGAGAGAGACAGCGCGAGCAGGGGAGGGTCAGAGAGAGAGGGAGTCACAGACTGAAACAGGCTCCAGGCTCTGAGCTGGCAGTCAGCACAGAGCCCGACGCGGGGCTCGAACCCACGAACCGCGAGATCATGACCTAAGCGAAAGTCGGACGCTTAACCGACTAAGCCACCCAGGCGCCCCCCCCCAATTTTTTTTTTAAATGATTTTCTCTATGCTCTTATTTGGCTTTCTGCAGACTTCGT